TTTACGTCAGTGCTCAGTCCTAATCAGAGTCAGTGTCTTTGAATGTTGTCTCCATTCATTCAGTGCAGACTGTTGATTCTAATGGTCCAATTTGATAGTTTTAACATTTTGAATTTTTTTTTTTAGAAAACTTTACATTTAATGTTCTGCAGTTTTGTTAAAATATTCAAAAACTATTCAAAAATTATCTAACTTGAAGTGTTTGTGACCAGGTTTTTTAAAAACTGCTGGTCTTTTTCACTAACGCTTTGAATCCTCTGCCTTAAACAGGTTAGTTCTGTCCATGTCTAATGTGGTTTTTAATATTGTTTCTTGACATTTATCTCATAAAGGCAGTAATGACCAGCGGCAGGACAGAGCAGAGCAGTGCTGTTTCTGTTTAATTCTGGTACCTTCCATTATCTCCACCTCTCCATACGTATGTCCTCGTCTGGCACGTGAACTTCACAATCACTTTATCATGACTTGGAGATTGATATTCTTATTTCGCAGAACAAAGATGCAGCTCCAACACCACCTCCGCTGAGACAGTATGATGGGAGTGTAAGTGAAAAGAGGGTGGAGGAAGAACAAAGAGTGCAGACAAACTGCCGGCATCTTACACAACACTTTTCAAATTTCGGTGGAGGAGCTTTGGCAAACTGCACCCAGAGGGAGGCAGCGCACGCAGCCAAAAACTGACACTAGAAATAGTAACACTCTCAGGCTGCAATTAAAACAAACATCCACCGAGCTGCGAGCCCAGGACTTTTCAGGAGTCGGAGTGAAGATTCTGCTGTTTGGAAACTGGAGGTTGAGATGTCTGAGAGAGCAGGGGGGAAAAAACAGCAGACTGTTGGAAAACACAGTGGGACATGTTGTCAAATACGACTGTGGAGTGGATTAATGATAAGGAGCACATTTCCAGCAGGGAGTCTAATTAGAATTTGCAGTGGAATGGCAGAGGCGTGCAGATTAAACTTCGTATTTGGGGGATTTTTACATTAACATTCTCTTTTGTCTCACCAAATCTGCGTCCATCTACTCAGGGAATAACATTCTGACAAACTGTCGCAGCAGCTGAAGTCCTGAGTCATAATTTAGTGAAACTGTGACTCAGGAGAGACTAACAAGCAAACACAAATCTAAAGTGTTTCCTGTTAGGTTTTCCACTGATTATCACAAATGTTTTAAAATGGTGGTTTATGTCGCAAAATGGGGCATCATTTAAAACGTCTTGGCCACCTGGTGGTAGCTGATTGTACAGCTCCACCCAGCTGTGGAGCACATGCTATTTTTACTTGGCTGACACGATTGGGTGTATTGAGTGATTACAAAGACGAAAATGAAGAAACAGAGCTCAACCTGGGGGCAAGAAAGTTTTCAGATAAACTCAAAGTCATAATAACTCAATACAATGGAACCACGAGATACGAGGTTAGTTAAATAACCCAGTAAGGAACAGTGAGTGTAATAATGGAGCTCGGTTGAGCACTCGTAACTCGATGTTTCCTTGTATCACAAGGAAAATATCAGAATCATTGCTCACTCAGAACTTAAAAAACTCATACGTCAGGGAGCTCGTATCGAGGGGTTCCACTGTAAGTCCATGTGGTATTGATTCCAGCTATTGGTTGCAAGCAGGTCCGCTACTACTGAACCACTGTGGACCCAAAGGTCTGTCAACTGAAAAAAGTTTTGGATTTCCACGAGATAAAATGGAGAAGGAGTGACAAAGTTTTATTTATCATGGTGTTGTACAGTCTATTGATGATAGGTGATGTGAGGGAGCTGTGGCGAGGGGCGGAGCCTAGATTACAGGTACGTTCGGTCACAATGGTCAAGGAAATGCAATACTTGCAGGGGCCAGTTAAAGGTGACAGTGACAATAGCATAATATAGGTGTGTAACTCGTCAGTCCAGGAAGTACACACAAGCACATCCAAATACACAATATTTACAAAACCACCTAAATCCTATAATACCACCTTAAAATACCAACTGAAACAAATGTTTTAATACAACGCTTTTAAAAAAAATCCTAATCTCCTGGAAGATTTAAGGTCTCTGCAGATTAACCAATCACCAATGACCTCTGACCCTCCACTTATGAAATGTGTCCTGACCACGGCAAAAACCAGAAGCCAATTCCCACCAGGCCAGAACTCCAAATGAGGTCAAGCTCGGTTCTAAGAATAAATGTAAAGTGCATCTGTGTCTTCCTTCCCAGCATCAGAGTGAAGTGCCCCTGATGAGGTTCAATACCGACGATGACGTGCAGCCCGTCACCTCATTTATCATTGTTACTGTTAACTTGCCCACACAGGCACCGAGCCTCAACACACACCACTTAAAAAGATCCAACTTTTCCACGTTGAAAGTCACCCAGGACGGAGCACAGACTGATCTGGTTAACTCAGGACTCGGAGGGCGACGTGTGGGAAGACAGGAGAGATAAACAGTCATCCTGAATGGATATTTGTTTGTCCAATAAGTTCACCCTCCATCCACTAGTCGGCGGTCTAATACACAGTCAAACCACATGTTGTCATTTACACACGCTGTGGGGAAATGTTTTTGTTTCACCAAAAGCAACTATCAATAAAATCCCTTCATCAAATCCCAGCATGTGTTTGTTGAGGTTCAACCTCTGGTTGGTGGCCCAGCTTGTGTCAGAGCAGTATGGTCGAGTCAGTGAGTCTACGACTGAGTCTGACTGACACAACAGTCAAATGGATTGTTCAGGACTGTAGACTGATCAATATTGACATTTTCAGTTATTCTTTTTTATATTTCTCTCGACATTTTCTCATATTAATAATTCCATCGTTAGGATTAGACACTTTTTTTCATATTTAGAAATGTTAATTCATCACAAATTAATAAACTCTCCATCTTCCTGTGTTCAAATATCTAATCCAGCAAGAAAGTAAAAGAATACTTCCTGCTGTGTACTGTGGTTCCACGCTGTGGGGAAATGTTTTTGTTTCAAAAATAATTCTTCCTGCTGTGTACTGTGGTTGCAACTGTGGCGCCACTTTCAGAGCAAATGCTTTAAAGTTTTCATTTGCATACAGTACAGACTGTATTCATAGACGATGTACACAGACAGAGAGAGAGAGAGACAACCAAGACAAGAGCAGAGAACGTGAATGATGGTCCATCCCAGCACACAACAGGTCGACAGAGAAGAATGACCTGACCTCTGTGGGATCAACCACCCTGACACCTACTGACTGGTGTGCATTTATCAGCGATGCCACACACACCACACACACTGACCATAAAGGTTGGTGTAAAAGACGTCAACCTATGGGAGACTTTGCATCTGGTCTCAGTGCGGCTCATCCCTGAACCAGCGGCTGGTTAAGGAGGCTCCTCTGACCCCCGCAGCATCAGGCAGATCGATGCTCTCTCAGGCAGAGGGAGAGCTGTTACTGCTGTAAGTTAAGCCCCTCCAACCCTCTCTTTTGTGTGCAGGCGTCGTGTCAATGCCCTGACACAAATGAGAGAGGGAGAAGCGTGAGAGAACACAGATGTGGGGGCGGTGGGAGAGAGGGAGGAAAGATGGATTGTAGTCCACGGTGCAGATGTGAGTGGTACAAACAGGTGGAGGAGAAACGAGGAGCTGAGAAGCACCGCACACTCGGTTGGTAGTATTTGATGAGGGAACAGAGGGAATGAGTGAGTGGAAGAATAAAAGAACGCAGGAGCAGGCTGTAGAAACGTCTGAGGAAACTGCTCTTAATTACCTTCATTATCCCTTTGTTAGTGAAGTAACGCAACAGTCCCAGAACTGTTTTACATCTTACTGCATCACGGAGAACTAGATTAGACTCTTCTTTTATTTCTGTCGAAGGCTTCTCTGACTCATTATTAAAATGACAGCGTTCATTGAGCTGAAGAGTGACACTTCAGGACCAGTGTTTGGTTCTTCTTCTTGAACAATAACAGGATTTGAAGCTTTAAAAAAAAGCTTCAAATCAGCCTCAGTAGGAGGATTAAGAGCTCGGTGATGAACCCAGTTTTTATGACACATTAATGACCAGCAGCAAAGAGAGGCTTTAATACAAGAAACTGAAATCTAACCACTGGGCTCCAGGTACCTGAGGCTTCAAGCATTTGTTAACCGGCCAAAGAAAAAAAATAAAGACATTTTATTGATTATTTATGTCAAAGTTTTTTCGTTTCCTAAAAAAAAGAGCCAGCATCTAAAATACTTCAGTCTGTGTCTCTTAACACAGTGTTTCCCAAACTTTGTTTCTGGGGACCCATATTTTAAAAGTCACAAACCTTTGCGACCCAAGTCACTAGACATTATTCCTAAATCACAAAATAAAGGTGTACTTGACCATTATTGAACATTAATGAGGATATTTAAGTGTTGACCAACTGATATCTGAACAATTATTATTACTCAAGTTTTAAACAACTGAACCAGTAAAAAAGGTATCCATAAGTCGACGACCCCAAAAACATCCATTGTGACCCACCTGAGGGACGCGACCCAGTCTTTGGGAAACAACGTCTTAATATATGTATAGATACGAAGTATGACTTACTTTAAAAAGTGTCAAAAGTTCCACAAGGAGACAGAAGACGAGCATTCAGTTTCCAAAAATAAGAGTTGAAGTTTAACACAGAGTCCTACTTCAAGTACAGGTTGGATTATGTGCCAAACTGTCTCTGTGAGATGTGGCTTTCAGCATATTCTTTGTATTATTTCTGCCCTTTCTGTTTTAAAATCAGTCATTTCTTGTTATATGGTCATTTTTTTCTGCACCTTTGACCAGAGGAAGTTCTGTGATGAGTGTTGTTTATTGAAGATCAGATTCTCCCGGTGTTTAAAAGCCTAAAATTCTGTGATGAGTGTTGTTTATTGAAGACCAGATTCTCCCGGTGTTTAAAAGCCTGTTTTCAACAGCCATGTCAATACAATGTCTTAGATAATCATCACAACCAAACCAGGAAACTCTGTGACCCTGTGAGAATCAAATGGAATGAAAAACAAACAGCCTTACTCTCGTCAGGGTTGGGGGAGGCGAGGATGGCGCTGTGCTTCCTCTTCACCTCCTCGACCTTCTCAGCCAGAGACTCGATGAAACCTCGGATCTCCTCCACCTGTGGAGGAAGATAAATGCAACGTGAGTAGGAAGAACTAAAAAGACCTCGTGGCCTTTGGGTAAATTTATAAAGAAGGGGAAGTGAATCTCAATGAACCCTCAGAATTAATTGTTTTTTAAAATAGCTGTACTGGACCTTTTTTTGTACCAAGGACCTGTGGGCCAGAATCAGCCGTTACTGCGGATTAGTAATACTGCGCCATCGTTGAAGGATGATTAAATTCACAAAATAAAACATCTTTCTTCTGTTAGTGTCAGAGTCTGAATGACCTGTTGTTCTGAAAGACTGTCAGATTATCTTTGAATGGAAAAGTAAAGGGATATGACTTGATTTTTGAATGAAGTAAATTAGTAAAACTGAAGTATATTTCTTCACTGTGTCCTACTTCTGACCAGTACCAAATGACCTAGGGACCGGGAACCAGTGCCCGGACCGGGGGTTGGGGACAAACATTCATAGAATGAATTGTCAATAATTTCCTCCTCTTTAAAATTCTGGGTCCAAATAGGAGGGAGTTTGATTTTGGGGTCAAAATGTCTTGATTGTATTTCCTGACTACTCTGCCACTCAAGCCGCTCTCATACAAACTGTGGTTGATCTGTATTATTGTCCTGTATTCCTTCTTAGACAGGACATCTGTTGTTTATATAAATATCAACTAAATTCATTTTTGCTGATGAACCACATGTTGCTCTTGTCCAGAACATTGTTAATTTCTTTTTTTTTTTAATTCTAGTCTTCATCATTTTTCATCAAAGTCTGATGTTACAGCGTCTCCTTCTGGCCTCCCGGCCTCCTTCTGTCCCTCCGTCGTTACCACCTGTGTTGTGTCGGACTCGGAGAAACAGCTGGAAGAGCAGCTGCTCACATCTGCCTGCGTCTTCATCAGTTCCCGTGTCCTTTCCAGGCTGTCATGTAATTCTGATGACTGCCACCTCTGCTACACCTGCTCCAGTGCAGACTGGCCTGTTCTCTATTGATTCATCTCCATGAAAAATCCATATCTCTGCTTGGCTCTGGTTTATTTTTTTGTGTCTCCTCCTATCATTTCTGCAGCTCTGCTCTCCCTACTGTATCTGTCTTTTCCCTCCATCTACACATTGCTGCTCTTTCTGTATCACAGCTGGGATTATTTATTTCCCATCATCTCTTTTATTAGCTGCAATAACAACAAAACTGTCCTCCGAGCTCCGCTGGGAAGCGCCGCCTACAGGTGGCACGATGAAATCAGTGTCAAGAGACGAACCACTTTCAGTCAGAGAAGAGAAGAGAGTTGTGAGGAGGTAAAGGTTGGAGGAAGTCTCTAGGTACGGGAGTATTGGTCCGTTCAGAGGATTGATGGTTCAAATCCTGGTCCAAGCGGGGACCAAAATAATGTGTCAAAAATAACAGATACAGCTGTTTTTTTCTCTGTTATTCTAGTTATGCCAAAAATGCAACATTGTGTACTGGAATTGAGAAAGTTTGGCTTCGTTGGTAAAAAAAATAAACTGTCATCACGAGCTGATCTCCTGTTGACCAGACTAATGATTTGGCTGCTGATGTCATGTCAGCGTTTAATAAAAAGCCCACCCCATGGTAAATATTATGTGGTGAAGGAAATGGGCAGACGCCTGAGGCACTGACTCCCTCTTGCCCTCCTTACCTCCACTCTGACATCACTGTGTAAAGCACCGAGCTTCGCAGTGAGAAACGGTTGCTCAGAGTGTGACGAATGAATGGAATCCTACAGGCCATACCACTGACTAAAGTGTGCATTACTTCGTGTGCGTCACACTGAGCCAGTGAGGACATGTAAATCACCCTGTGTGGGGCAATCATCCCCTGAATTCACGTACAGAATTCCTGACCTTACTCCACAATTTCTAACACATCACACGCCCACAGTGACAGGACTGGAGGCTATAATCTGGACGTGGGGACGTGGGCAGTGGGAGCGGAGCTGAGTAAATGTGAGCCGCTGTATAAGGGTTAATAAGAGTCAATGATGACGCTGTGTGACTCCATTACACCTGGTTCTCACTGGACGTTAGACTGGAGCTCAGGGGGAAACAGCTGCAAAAACCGACAATTTATTGGAATGCAACAATTAATCATATTTTTTTGGATAAGTTGGATATTTTAACAAAAATGAATACTGTTTTTTACATAGATGACAAATTTGTTCCAGAATGTTCTTCAGAATAACTTCAGAGGTATTGTTTGGCGTATGGGGGGTGAAAATCTCCCAGTAAATGCATACCATTTAGCATTTACGTTAGCTGTTGTGTTAGCTACTGTCATTAAAGGTGCTGCTGATTGGCTGAATTTTTCCTAGTACTTTTTTTCCCTGCAAAAGATTTATGTTTAAATCTATGACTATTTGTGTTTTCATACATGAGGAAAACTCATGAAGATTTACTTTACTTCCAAAACATTAATGGCATTAGAAAGAAAAAATCAAAATAAAATAAATGATGAAAAAGGCGATGAAACAGAATTTTAAAAATTAGCAATTAAATGCAAATTAAATGAATAAAATTATGTATGATCTGAATAATAAGGCAGCTTTTAAAATGGATTTAAAAACATTCACCTTTGGAGGTGACTTCAGGGACTCCCAGTGAAGTACAGGCAGATATAGATGAAGATATTGATTTTGGTGATTGAGTATCCACTCACACAAACAGGTCAATGCCAGACACAGGGCGGCACATGTACTTTTGTTATTAAACTTAATGCAGCAAAGAACGGAAACACACACACACACACACATCACACATATAGAAGCTCACATAAATGCCAGTACAATGTGAAATCAATATCCACGCTCTGACGGTTTTCAAGTTTTCATGTATGTGGTTGAAGTGAAGGATGGACAGCGTAGCATCAGCAGCATCAGCAGCATCAGCAGCATCAGCAGCTCTCAGGTATCCTCATAGATCACCACTGAAAGCCCAATTAACACGTCCACTCAGGGTTAGAGCCTGATTATTCCATCACTGCCCTTAAACCGTTCCCCTTTTACTGTCAGGTCTTATTACCTGTCCGACCTCTTTGTTCTCATCCTTCTTTCACACTCAGTATCACCAGCTATCAGCATCATCATCTCATTTCATTTTTTTCCCCTCACCCAAACCACTCCTCATTCGAACCATTTCTTCATTCCCTCACTGGTGAATTGTCAACATTTACCAGACAATGATTCCATGAAAAGTCCCAGATATGCATCTGTGATGGAAACAGACAGCTGGTGAGAGACTAGAGGCAGCGGAGGAGCAGTAAGAGGAGCAGACCAGTGTCGGCCAAAATGACTGCAGGCTATAATGTTCCCTCAGAACTACAACATCCTGCACCTAATGTGATAGGAGAAGTTTTTAATGCTCTATAATGTGATAGGCCTGGATTGATTTCAACCTAAAACGGAATGTGAAAATGTAATCATGTTCAAATTGCATGACGTCTCAATTTGATCCCAGTGTCAAATGTATAGGTCCTTAGCTACTCAGTGTACATCGCGTGTCAAACTAGAGGCCCGGGGGCCAAATGTGGCCCACCAAAATGTTTTGTGTGGCCCGCGGGAGCTTAAAAAGCATTTAGTAAAGTCCACGCAGCAGAGTTTCTTGATCTATGAAATTAAATTATTTCTTATTACACAGCAATGAACAATATGTGTAGCTTGAATAAATAATAATCAATTGCAGAAACATGTATTAGTCTGTTATGGAGTACATCTATACTTCATTACATTTTCAAGATAAAACATCTTTTAGACTCTGTTCTGTTTATATCAGGGTCTGAATGACCTATATTTTAAAAATATTGACAGATTATCTTCAAATGAAGGAAGTAAATTGATAAGAATGAATTTTCTTTTAATTAAGTAAATTAATGGTAATCAGTATCACGGTTATTTTGAGGTGTACAGTGGAAAACTTTTGTGGTTCTCAATCAATAAAATGCTTTTTTAAAAGATAAAAGAAAATGATGAGCAGTGTGACACCAGAGAAGAAGAATGACTGTGTTATCGTACCAATGTCCTCGACGGATATGAAATGACATGAGACTGGTTGTAGCCAATGTGTCAAATCCTTCACCGTGTCACGTGTATTGGTGAGTGAAACCAATAAATAAATAAAGAAGAACAAACCTGTTCGAAGAACTCGTCCATGAAGCCTTTCTCCATCCCCACAGCCACTTCATCCTCCTCCTCGTTCGTCTCCTTCCCCTGCGAACACGTGCAAAATATAAATAAATATTCACTCTTATGATATATTCATCATATGCAGTATTCACACTACAATCAGTACAATCACTGTTTTCATGGTGACAGTGGGTGTTGGGCTGTTTGAGGGTGGAAAGCTTTTTGGAAATGGGGCACAGCAAGGGAAATGACCTTCTTTTCAACACAGTGACACAGGACGTTGGTGTAAAATGGTATATTAATGGCTGTCTTGTAAGAATTTAAGTGATTTATATAAATTTCATAGATTCTGTATTGACTTTTTGGAACTGCTGTTTTCAGGATGAGATGATTGATGATGGATGGATGGATGGATGGATGGGTAGATAGAAGGATGGATGGATGGTAGATGAATGGGTGGATGGATGGATGCTATAATCCACATGGCATCTCTAACTTTCTACATCCGCTCCAAGGATTCCTTCAGAAACATCCAGTCAGTCCTAATCACACATCAGTCATTACAGCACACCAACAGGAATCACATGCGGCTTCATCTCATTCATCCAGTCAGGGTCAAGCTAATTCAATTCTACATTAGAAGCCCCATGAGCTCACCCCCTCGGCCCCCTACATCAGAGTCACACAGGGAGGTGAGGTTTTCATCTCTGTCTGTAATTATTCTACAGAAAAGATGAAAAGCTAAAGAAGGCTCCTTTGTTTTTGTTTTGTGTTTATCTTCTTCTCAAAGGTAACCAGTCAAACCATCTTCATATTCCAAAAATCCCAGAGTGTCACTCTTCCCTCTCTTCCCTCTGTGATTTCTCTGTTTATCTATGTGCGGTAAAAAGACGAGTGCTGCTTCTTCCTTCTTCCTTCCTTCACCTCCTTCACTAATCCACTCACCAGATTATAACAGTGTTACAAAGAGAGTTTCTTCAAACCTCATGAAATTTAAAGAAAACTTTCAAAAAGATTTAACCAACCTGTCATTTCTCTTAGAAAATAATCTGTGTTTCAACCCCTCTGTATTAATGTCTCAGTGCAGACAGATGCAGGTAAATCAGCGGCCCATAAAGTACTCTGGATTTTTTAAATACATTTTCAATCACATAACCTCTTTGGAGCGTCTGGTTTTGCTGATCTGTTGCTAACATGAGATATGTCCATAGCAACCGAAACGTATCCAATCAGTGTCGTTGAATCTGCTTAAGGGCGATTAACTTGTCGCCCCAATCCAGTCTCTGAAGTACTAACCCACCATTACATGTGCTTAGCTGTGCACCTCTGCCACAAGGGGTCACTGGTGTAACAGTCAACAGCCTTGAGTGTAAAAATGTATAAATACGACTTAGAAATGTGTCAACATGTTCAGTTTCAAATGAAAAACTTGTATTTGTGCAATATTCTGTCGGTGTTTCTTGTGTAAGAATAACTGTTTAACATCTCAGCGCACCAGTATCCTGCCATGTGTGTTAAAGTGTATTGGGGAGGTTACTGGATATTTTGACCAGCCACTGGTGTAAATGTGGAATATTATTATTGTCAGGGAGAAGAACATGCCCTCAGTCTGTCACTGGAGTTGGATGGACAGTTTTCAGTGGCTGCCTCCCTTGGATTAACAATGTGCTCTTGTCAAAAACACATCATCCTGTGCAGTGTTTGCAGGTAGTGCCAGGACACAGGGGGGGGGGGAGTACTGGGGGGGGGGGGGGAGAGGGGGGGGGGGGGGGGGGGGGGGGGGGGGGGGGGCAGAAACAGTAGGACAGACAGAAGCCAGTTTCTGAGAAGATCGTCTCAGAGGACAGGCTTCAGAGAGCGCTGCTGATACTGTTGGCACAAACACAAGTGAGAGGATACACAGCCACTGGGATCTGGCTAATATTATCTGAACCCACAGCAAATATATTTACAGTACTGCACAGGAAGTACATTCTCTGTGTGTGGGGGTTATGTATGGAATATATCTTGGTTTTGATTAGAAGAAACCTTGGGACCATCATAAATAATATCCCCAAAATAATAATATTCAATTGCTACGCCCCCTACAGCACATTTGATGCACCACATGATCACTGTTTTTTTTTTGGTGTTTTCACTTCAGTCCAAGCCCTGCGAGACAAATACCGGGTGGGTGTTTGGGCAAAAATGAGGTGCATTTGAAAGAAGAAAAAAAAAATTGCAGCCCATAAGACATGGAGAGAAAAGAGGCGGCAGCAGCAGCAGGAGGGCAGAGGAGGAGGAGGAGAACAAGCTGGGAATGTGAATAAGCTCCAGGATCACCTGTAGTGTGTTCAGACGCCATAGAGAGCCGTGCAGAGAGCAGAGCTTTGGTCTGTTTTACTTTAAGTGCCGAGGAGAGGAGGAAACGAAGCACACCGCCCAAGACCTCCAGCTCCTTCTCTACGTATAATCTGCTCCTCCTGCTGAGCCTCAAAGAGGCAGAAAGAGGCCTTTAGTGCATCAGCCCCGACTCCGCCTGCAGTTTCACACAACATATGCTCCGACTGCTGGAAATGCCAACATACATGCAGTACACGCTCGCAGCTGACGCACCAGTGTGGCAGAGCGCACACGGATAACGAGGCCCACACAAGCTGGGCTCCCGTTAAGGCGCCGGCCCCCGCGCGCTCTCGGCCTCTGGGAGTCAGACTCGGGTGAAACAGCTCGACAGGAGAAGTGGCCTGATTATGCTGTTTAATAAATTAGAGAGACATTCTGGGCACCGTGCCAGCGGGGAGTCACCATGTGAAGACAAAAGGCAGTGTCTGCACATCCAGTGGAAACAGGAGGCGAAAGAGGAAATGTAGTCCAGGAGGAACGGATCAAGAGAGATCCTCAAATTAAAATGCACAGGCTGTCGAGAGGGAAACAAAAAAAGGAAAAAAGTACGTGCAATAAGAGAATGCAGAGAAATGTTGCACGAATTACAATATGACATATTTGAAAACATTTTTGGACATTTCAGTGTTAATAGGATTAATACAGAAAAAGACTGTGTACTGAGTACTGTGTACTGAGTACTCTCTGATAAATCACAGGGTAGATGTTAAAATGATTTAATTATGAATAATTCAGATAAATCTACTTTCCCAGATATGTTGGAAAAGAAGACAAAAAAACGGCAGGTAGATGTCAGTGTTTCTCACCTATTTTACTTGTGTCTAATCAAAATTATGGAATTATTATATTGAAAAATGTCAAAAGAAACTAAAAACTGGTATTTCAGACATTACTGTTCATCTGGACGGTGCCTTGTAGAACACGTGGAGAGTTTCTTTCTAAACTCCAGTCCAGTTGTTGTCCTCAACAATATTAATCAGTCTACAGTCCTGAACAATCCATTTGACTGTTGTGTCAGTCAGACTGTCAGCCGTAGACTGACTGACTGTCCTGATCTCAGTCAGGCTGCTCTGACACAAGCTGGGCGGTGGCCATATATATGTTATATATATATATAGACTATATAATCCATATTGCATGTTTAATTATATAATATTAATAGATGATTAATAATTTAATCTTCTGCCTTTTTCATAATGTCCTCCCTCTCTCTGGTTTTCTCACCTCCTTCCTCCATACTTCTGCCACACTAAAGTATTGTTTTTTTATACACAGGCCCACACAACATGAACTCAGCTACCTTGGTCTCAGTCTGCATGGTCTCACACACACACACACACACACACACACACACTCAGTAACTTAATTAACGTCTCACTATTTTGTCTCTCTCCTGTTTCTTCTATCTGTCTTCTCGACGACAATCATTTATTTTTATATTTTTTGTACAGTCCATAGAGCTGTAGAGAACAGTGCAGACTCATAGGTGTCTACACTGAAGGAAACACCAGTGAATAAGAGTTGGCAGCACACCAGAGCCAGGAAGGGCGGCTCACACATCTTTGTACAAATCAATGACAATCAATTTCCGGCGGGGATTACAAACGTGTGCGGGTGCCAGGTCTGTCAGAGATAACTCTGCTGCGGGGACTCACACGAGGCGTCTGACCTTTCAGACTAAATAGTCGCTGCTTACTCCCATTTCAGCTTGTTAGCACGTAATAGGCCAACAGATATGATTACATTATTAATAAGCCGTGGAAGATTTTTGGCGCGTGCCGTTCGGCAGGTGCACAGCCAGGCGTAGGTGAACGGATGTTTAGAAGATTTAGTTCGACTTTGTTGACAGATCAAAAACAGGAAGAAGAAAATGTGTCATCGCCGTTCATGTGGTCGCCTCTTCTCCTCCTCCTGCTGGATATATTTAGACCATCTCAACACTCTAATACTCCATGACCATGAAAGATTACGCCGGCACCAGTGGACCACCAACACTTTTATACTGCGCACATCAGAGTGAAAGTAACAGTGAATGATTTGGATGTGAAGGAGGAGCCAACTGTGGCTGCAGAAATGAAAAGGCAGTCTGACAGGATGTGACAGGTGAAAGGACTGAGAGCAGAGATATTTAACAACGCTTCAGAATAAAGTTGATGTATTTTCTACTGATGTATCTGTACAGTATTAGTACTCACACGTCAATCAAATAATACTTAATATACTCAAAAACATACCCAATCAACTGACCCTGTACTCATGGTAGTCTGTTAAAGTAGCTCAACAATGTCAGCTGAATGCTGAAATTATAATTGTCTTATTATTGTCTATTGTTTTGGTCTAATGTGACGACAGTGTGATTTGATCATTTTTTTGTCCCTCACAAAAAAGATTTGTTCTAATATCTGTTTGGAAAGAAGAGAAAGTCGTCACATTTCCAGTTTTACTTTAGTTCAACTGAAGCTAATTCTCCAACAAAGATGGGAGAGATTTGATGAGAACACCATTATTCTGTAATATTAGTATCTGTGTTACCTTCTGGATCATGTTGAAATAAAAATCCTCAAATGAAGTGGAAATATCAACATTTATTGAGGTCCTGGTTTGGCCAGGTTTCTAAAGATGAGAATGTTCCTAATAGTTTAATTGACAAACACGACAAACAGATATGAGATATTGTTACACGTGTCGCCTCATTTGTACAG